TTTCCTGTTTGACTTTCTTCTTCTTAATCCTTGTCACCATCGGAAATTATCTTATTTGCCCTGGGTGGTGTGATTCAGTGGGTTGGGTGCTGGCTTGCAAACCTAAAGGTCACCAGTTCGACTCCCAGTTAAGGCACATGCTTGGGTTGCAGGCCAGGTCCCCAGTTGGGGGCATGTGAGGCAACTGATCAATGTATTTCTCACACATCAATGTTTCTCTCTCTCTTTCCCCATCTCTCTGAAAATAAATAAAATCTTAAAAAATATTTAAGAAATTGTTAAATATATATATATATATATATATATTTTTTTTTTTTTTTTTAAATCCTTATCCAAGGACATGTTTGTTAATTTTAAAGAGGAAGGGGAAGAGAGAGAAACATCATTAGTTGCCTCCTATATGAGCCCTGACCAGGGATGGAACCCACAACCTAGGTATGTGCCTTGACTTGGGATTGAACCTGCAGCCTTTTAGTGTATAGGACAATGCTTCAACCAACTACACCACCCAGCCATGATCATTTATATATCTTCATCTGTTTTTTCCTATCCCTGGCAATAGACTGGGAATTGAGCCTCTCTGGGGCTGAGTCTGAGTCTGTCTTGGTCACTGCTGTACCCTCAGCAATGAGAGCTGTGAAGTCCAATTCAGCAGCCACTGGCCACATGTGTCTAGTAAGCTCTTGTAATGTGGCTGCCTGAATTGAGATATGCTGTGCATGTAAATTTTACACTGGATTTCAAAGGCTTATCATGAAAAAAAAATATCAATAACTATGATGAGAAAACATAATAACTTACACTGATTGTGTGTTGAAATAACAATTTTGTTAAAATAAATGTTATTAAAATTAACCATACCCACTAGGCTGACTATAATACCAAAACATGGGCAATAACAAGTACTGACCAGGATGTGGAGAAACCAGAACCCATTTAGAAAAGGTGCAGCTATGTTGGTAAAAAAGTCAAAAGGTTAAACACAGGCCCTGCCTGGTGTGGCTCAGTGGATTGAGCACCAGCCTGTGAACCAGGGGATCACTGGTTCGATTCCCAGTCAGGGCACATGCCTGGGTTGCTGGACAGGCTCCCAGTTGGGGGCGTGTGAGGAGCAACCTAATGATGTCTCTTCTCACTCATGGATGTTTCTCTCCCTCTTTCTCCCTCCCTTCCTCACTCTAAAAATAAATTAAAATCTAAAAAAAAAAAAGGTTAAACACAATGTTTCTATATGGCCCAGCAATTCCACGTCCACACAGAAAACTGTCTACACATGTCCACAGCAACAAGATTTGCAGCAGGATTCACAGCAGCCAAAAATGGAAACAGAAATATTTGAGATCTTGCTTCCTGGCAATTATCAGTTTGGGCTCCAATAAACTCATAAAAAAATCTTAAATGAAAAATAACTCAAATGCCCATCAATGGATGAATGGACATACATAATGTGGTCAGTCCACAAAGTAGAGTATTACTCAGCCACTAAAAGGAGTGAAGCACTGACACTCGCTATACCATGGCTGGACCTCGAACGCATAATGCTCATTGAGAGAAGCCAGATCAAAAAGCCACATAGTATGTGATTCCATTTGTGTGAAATGTCCAGAATAGGCAAATCCAGAGACAGGAAATGGGTTAGTGGTTCTCAGGGGCTGGGGAGTGACTGCTAAGAAGGGGGCTGTTTTTTGCAGTGATGGAATGTTTTAGTCCTCCCTCTTTTGCCTCCATCACAGGTGAGCACACTGAGACTTGCAGAGAGGAAGCCACCTACCCACTCAGGCTGAGTGGGAACTCATACCTGAATGCCCAGCCTGGGAGCCGCCAGGAACCCTATAAGGATTCTAGCACCATCTGCTCAGGGTCATGTGGGCCTAAGGGCTCCCCAGCTACTCTGTCTGCTTAGGGTTTGTAGCAATTAACAAACCCAGGTCAGGCCAGCATGGAACCAGATTTGGGGAGCCTGAGACCCCTGTGGGGCTGCTCTCAGCCTCTCCAGGGACCCTCTCACTCACTTCAGCTCTTTTCCCAGCAGAAATCCTCAGCTGAGGCACCTTGGCCTCTCACTTCCCATTTCTATTAAAGGACGATTAACAATACTGTATGTCATCAAGTATAAGGCCATTGGTGGTAAGATGCAGTATTATTCTGTGAATGGCTATGAAAAGCAAAGAACAGCCAGCAACAATACTCTGAACCTGACCTCTAGGAAGATAAACTGTGAAAAATGGGAATAACCATAGGGCTAGGCAGTAGTTACAAGTACTTGGAATAGCCCTGGGAAAATTCTTGTCCTGCATTCTCTCATGCTTACCAACCGACAGGTTTTGCTAAGAATCCTGGGTTTACAAGTGTGGGCCGCAGGTTATAGGTGAGAGTCTTCAGATTTTAAATGGAGAGCTCCACACACAGACATTCATGTCCAGCCAGCCCCCAGACCCACTTGCCCCTACAAAGCCCCCTTGCTAACCCTCTTGCTTCCCCCAGCTGATACCAAGAACCACTTCCTCACTGAAGACAGAGGAAGCCAACTCCTCCTGACCACCCTCCAGGCTCGTTGCCCCCATCCTGGATCTGCTCCCACTTAATGGGTTGAGTAAATGTCAAGTTCCTGACCACAGGCACAACTCACCCCAGACCCAGCTCAGCCCCTACCCCATGAAGCAGGGCCCCTGGGAGCAGGGGTCCTTCCAAAAATAGATCAGCTATCTCCAAGGATCCAGCCATGGTTGCAGATTAGAATGTGGCCAGAGAGGGGCCAGGTCCGTATGAACTTTTGTGGTGGGGACCCGTGGCCTAGGCTCTCTGGGTGCTTGTATATGATGCTGGGGGCTTACAGGTTTTCAAACCCAGTCTCTTGGGGTAGTGACACTTGGATTGTCTCTGTTGTCACCCCTTTTTGGACCTTGTCAACAATAGGATGGGAATGCACAAACTCACATGCTGACAGTCACCCATCTTTCACTCTAGACCACATCCCACTCCATCAGACATCTGGGCTGGATCACCCTCTGTGGGAGGAAGTCCCGGGTACTGTGGGGTATGAAGCAGCCTCCCTGCCCTAACTGGTGTAGCTCAGTGGGTTGGGCATCATCCTGTAAACCCAAAGATCCCTGGTTCAATTCCTGGTTGGGACATATGCCTAGGTTGCAGGCTGGTCCCCAGTTGGGAGCACATGAGAGGCAACCCACTGTTTCTCTTGCATGTCGATGTCCCCCTCTTTCTCCCTCCCTTTCCTTCTAAAAATGAAAACTTAAAAAGATCTCTCTACCCTTCCACACCCCCTACCTACCCACCTCTGTACATTGATTAATGCATATTCATTGTGGAAATTTTGGGACATAGACTTAAAAAAATGAAACAGCATCCCTGCCCCCCCATTCAATGCCACAAGCACCCCAGTTGTGACAATCACACATTCCCAGACATTACCTAGTGACCCCTGGGGGAAGGATCACTCATGTCTGAGAACCACTGGTTTAACAATACACATGTACTTATGAAAGAAGTTTATAATCTTGTTTCAAAATACTCCTAGGCATAATGTATTTTGGAGAAAGTGTCCCGATATGGCTCCTGGGATTTTTATTTTCCTAAAAATTTTTATTTTTAGACAGAGGGAAAGGGAGGAAGAGAGGGAAACATCAACAAATGGCTGCCTCTTGTGAGCCCCTCACCGGGGACCTGGTCTGCCACGCAGGCATGTGCTCTGACTGGGAATCAAACCAGCCACCCTTTGGTTCGCAGGCTGGCAGTCAATCCACTGAGCCACACCAGCCACGGTGGATTTTTACTTTTAAATAAGGTGTAGCAAGTTCCTGGTTCACATAGGTGAACTTCCCCATTCACATAGGTGGTGTATTACTTGGCTGAGGAAGGTGCAGGGTTCTGCTTCCGTGACAAAATGTTGGGAGGTCTGCCACCTCATACCCATTAGGATGGCCACTACCACAAAACAAAGACTGCAAAAGCCCCCCACAAAAAACACACAATGTGAAGTGCTGAGGGAGATGTGGAGAAATTAGAAGCTTGTGGACAGATGGTGGGGCAGCTGCTATGGCAAAAAGGATGGTGGTTTCTCAAAAAATGAAACAATCACCATTCAAGCCAGCAATCCCATTTCTAGGCAGACTCAAAACTGGGAGCAAGATGAAGAAATTATTCGTGCACACATGTAGTAGCAGCACAATTCACAACAGTGAAGTGTCCCCCACAGGTGACTTCAACCTTCCACTTGCTCAGGCCAAAACCCAGGTGTCATTTGGACCTTCTCCCCGACACCATCAGTCATGAAGACTCCTTAAAATCTCACTGCTGAATCTTGTCCCTCTCCCGCATTAAGGAAACAAATCTGACCAGGAAGCTTTAAGGAGCAGGATTAGGACCCCTCTGCATCACACTGCACTCGGGTGGTATGTGACACCCCGATCTGTCCTGGAGAAGGCTTAATCCAAAGCCCATGGCCCAAGGCCAGGGATCCTGGGGCCATGTGTAAGGCTTTCAGATACCAATCCGGAACATCATGTTCGAAGAGAGGGATAGATGCAGGCAGCACGGTAAGAACGAGGGCAACAAGGGACACCGGGCAGGCATATAAACTGGAGGGAGTAGGGCAAGAGATTCAGATCAAAGGCTCTTGCTGTTCATGTGCTTTACTGTAGAACCGAGCCCTTGAATGGGAAACATGAAGGACCCAAGAAGGGGATGGGAGCCTGAGGGGAAACGCTACACTCAGCCCAGCAGTGGCCACCTCTTTGGGCCAAAGGGCATTCAGAGATGCCAGGTGGCTAAACTTGTGGATCTGGGTTTGGAGGGTCAAGGCGCAGGGGCACAGGGAGGACGGTTTAGGATCCTGACCACCCAATTTGTTACAGGGAACCCCCAACTCACCCAATCCAAGTTGCCACTACTGAGGCCCCCTTAACTGGGGGCATTGACACCCTGCCCAGGTGCCCCCAGTGTCTCGGGCCCCAGACACTTGAAAGGATGGGTTGCACTCAAACTAAGTAAGTCTGTGCTTTTATTGGCTACTTGAGAGGGATGAAGCGGGAAGAGTGGGTAGCCCCAATGCCGGGCCGGCCATGCTTCACTGGCTTATAGGTGATGGAGAACTCGCCCAGGTAGTGGCCAATCATCTCCGGCTGTGGGAAGCAAAGAATGGACCAGTGTTAGGTGACCATGGGTGGAAAAACCCACACCCACCCAAGCAGCACAGCCCCTCACACACCTTTATTTCCACCTGGTTGAAGGTCTTCCCATTGTACACGCCCACCATGCTGCCCACCATCTCTGGCAGGATGATCATGTCCCGCAGGTGTGTCTTCACCACTTCAGGTTTCTCCATAGGTGGCGCTTCCTTCTTGGCCTTGCGCAGGCGCTTTAGCAGTGAGTGCTGCTTCCTCCGCAGGCCGCGGTTCAGGCGCCGCCGCTGCCTGGCACTGTAGAGCTGCATCAGCTGCTCACTAGGTGGGAGAGGGCAGGTGGGGCGGCATGGGTGGTCTAAGCCCTGGTAGAAACCAATACCCTTCACCCACTAACAACACTGTTCCCTGTAATCCCCAAAAGGCAACGTTCAGGGCCCAGCCTAATATTCAAGATGAACCCCGCAAATCCGACAACCTTCACATCACTGTCTGGAAACCAAGGCACAAGTACAGGCAGCTCAGGTGAAGTGGTGCAGCAGGAACCCCGTGGGTAAAAGGATGTGCTCCTAAAGGCCTCAAGAATCCAGGAGAAGGGCCAAGTCTAAGAAACCCTCAGCCTGCTCTGTGTTTTCAGGAACTGGGTCCTCCAGGCCTAGACCCAGGCACACCTTCATCAAACAGGGGTCCCTGGCTGTCAGAAAGCCTTCCCCCTCATCTGGAGGCCCGGACACATACCCACCCCGCCCCTGGGGGCAGACTTTTAAGAAGCACGAGTCAGACCACCACCACCCCGCCTAGAAGCTTCCAGCTCCGACCAAATCTTAAACCTGGAGCCATAAACTGCCCAAGTGCCAAGCCGTGGCCCGCTGCCTGACCCTACAAGGCTCGTAAGCTACAGATATTTGCGTTTTCAAACAGATAGGAAGATGTCAAACAACACATGAAATTTCTGTTATTGTCAAACCGCAGCCCATGCTTCTACCCTCGGGCTAAGGCCTCGTGGGCACCTCTGGCCGCAGTCCCCAGTCCCCCGGGGTCCCCTTCCGCCGCCACCCCTTCCTTGGTCCGTTAGACCCTTACTAGGACATGTCAAGTAGCTGATCGAGATCCACGCCGCGGTAGGTGAACTTGCGGAAGGTCCGCTTCTTCTTCTGCTCCACTTCCGCCTGTGTGGGCCCGGGTCAGAGGTGAAAGCGAGCCCGAGACTCACCTCCCACCTCTACGGCCTCAACGGGGACAGCGGGCCTAAAAGTCCCGCCGGAAAACACGCGGCGCCCCCGGCAGACGAGTCCGTGGAGACACATCACCACGGGCTCGCACTAGGGCGGTACACGCGGCTACGGGGCCTCGGCTGTGACAAGAGAGCTCGTACAGTCCGTCCCAGACCCGGGTCGTCGCGACACCCACCAGGCCCGCCCCGCGACCCCACATCCGGCGGTCCCGGCAGCCTGGAAGAGGCTGTCGGAGTTGCGCGGGCTGACCCAGAGCCCCAAGAAGCAGCCAGAGCCAGGATGGTGCCGGATATGTTCCCACAGACAGCAAAGCCTCAGCTCTTACCATCTTGTTGGTTCTTTGGAAAGGACCACCCACTCTGCGTCTGCGCAATTATCGCGAGCTCGCCCCTGTGCCCCGCCCCTTGGCCGTGCGTGCGCAAGCGCCTCAGCTTTTCGGGGGAGGGCGCGCGCCCTCTGTTGTCGGGAGGGTAGAGCTCAGGCTGCGACGACAAAAGCGGTGGGCAAGAGGCCTTTGCTTTTGCCGGGGCTTGGACGCCAACCCCCAGGGTGGGGCCAGGCGCCTGGAGTTTAGGGCCCTTTTCTAAACGTCGCTCCCCCTTTCAAACATCATATTCGTGCTCTGTAATCTCCATTAATGGAACACAACCTAACAAGTGTTTATGGAGCACCTACTGTTGGCAGTCGGTGCTGTCTGGTTCAGGTCCAGCGTTCCACGATAGAGCTGTTACTGCAGAGTGAGAGGCAGTCCCCCTAAGGAACAGGGTCATATAGTTAACAGAGCCAGGAGGGGTGGGACACTGGCTTCTAACAGTCAGAAAAAGGCATCCCTGATAAGAACCAGCCAGCCTTGAATGGACGAAATTATTTAAGTAATAACTATATAACAATACACTTCTAGGTTTGTAACATAAGTTGATGTAATAAGTATAACAGCAATAGCAAAAAAAAAAAGGAACAAGGCACTAAGATATATAGGAGTACTGTTTCTATATTCACTGGAATTAAGTTAGTGCCCATCTGAAGGTGATTCTGATATATTAAGATGTATATGGGCCCTGGCTGGTGTGGCTCAGTGAATTGAGTGCCAGCCTGCAAACCCAAAGGTTGCCGGTTCGGTTCCCAGTCAGGGCACATGCCTGGTTCGTGGGCCAGGTCCCCAGATGGGGGTGTGGAGAAGCAGTTGATCAATGTATCTCTCACACATCGATGTTTCTGTCCCTCTTTCTCCCTTCCATATGTATATGGTACCATATGACCAAGCAATCCCACTTCTGGGTGTGTACCCCAAACAACTGAAAGTGGTTATTTGACCAGATTTGCACACCCATGTTTGGAGCACCATGATTCACAATGGCTAAGTGGAAACAACCCAAGTGTCCATCAATGGATGAATGTAAGCGAAGTGTGGTGCACCCACACACTGGAATACACTATTTGGCCTTAAAAAGAAAGGACACTCGACACGTACTATGTGGGTGAACCTTGAAGACACACTCAGTGACATAAACCAGACATTAAAGGACAAATACTGTGTGGTTCCACTCATAGGAGGTCCCTAGAGTAGTCAAATTCATAGAGACAGAAAGCAGAATGGTGGGAGCCAGGGCTGGGGAAAAGGGGTGAGAAGTTAGTGTTTAATGGGGACCGAGTTTTAGTCTGAGAAAGTCCTGGAGATGGATGATGGGAATAATTGCACAACAATGTGAATGTACTTAATGGCATGGAGCTGTGCACTGAAAAATGGTTACACATAGCAATTTTTACGTGTATTTTGCTACAGTAAAAGACCAGCCCTGGCCGGTAGCTCAGTTGGTTAGACAATCAACCTGATACACCAAGGTTGTTGGTTCAATCCCCAGTCAGGCACATACAGAAATCGAGAATCAACCAGCCGTGACTGGTGTGACTCAGTTAATTGAGCATTGGCTTCCAAAGCAAAATGTCACTGGTTTGATTCTCAGTCAGGGCACATACATAGGTTGTGGGTTTGGTCCCCAGTCAGGGTGAGTACAAGAGGCAACTGATCAATGTTCCTGTGCCGTTTTGATGGTTCTCTCTCTCTTTCTCCCTTCCCTGCCACTCCCCGCTTAAGAAAAAAGAAAAGAAAGCATAAATGAGTGATGAGTGGAACAATTTATAAAAAAAAAAGAATATACTTAAAAACCCAATCAAACATATATATAGTAAGCTTAGAGGATCCTCTAAGAAAATCACTCCCAAAATACAATGAACAAAGTCATTAAAGAGAACGAAATGCTACACTAGAAAATGGTGGACTGTAAAAGAAAGAACTAAGAGAGGCATTAAGGACAAAAAAAGAACTATGACATAGAAATCAAAGTGAAACGGCAGAGCACAGCCCAAGCATATTGGTAACATTAATGAGAATTCAGCAAGGAGGTAACCAGCCCTGCTGGGAGGGAACTTTGCTGGAAGAGGGAGCACATATGCAAAGGTCCTGGAGTAGGGATGACCTAGGTGCTCTTAAAGCCAGAGAGGCCAGTGTCAGTGTCACCCTTTTGAGCCCTCAGTCCCCTCTTGGTCTCCAGTCCAGCTGGTTGGGTAGGGTTTGACTGACACCAGTGACTTTGTGGGGAACTGGGTGGGCCTGGAGGAAAAGAAGTTCAGAATCTCCTCAGCCATTTTCACAATCCTAGGGAAGAAGCCAATTAAATTCCATTCAAAGGAGGGGCTGTCAAAGGAAGGGTTGCCCTCTCTGTCCTAAGGGAGTACACCATTTGGGGTCGAAGGGTATGTTCTTTAGGGTGTGAAGGGTGTGATACAGGCTACTGAGTCCCAGCTGTCTAGAAATCTGTTTGCACGATGCTGTTTGCCAGGGACCTTAATTTTGCCAATTAATTTCACTAGCAAAAGGAGCTAAGAGTTAATGCTGTGATACCGTGGTATGATCCTGCTCCTCCCTGCATCTTCTGTAAACCTGGGTGGCAGCAGCTTGAGAAGGAACGGGGAAGGCTGCCTGCCATCCAGAGGCCATTTGGAGATCACAAGGAAATTTGCCAGGGTTGAGCTCTGGGAATGTGGGGTAATGGCAGCTTTGTTTATTAGTTTTATCTCAAGCCTGGCACACTGGAGGTACCGAGTTCATTTTTGGACAAATCAATTTATGTTTTAAAAACATTCTTTAAAACTTTTTTTGATTTTAGAGAGAGGCAACCTAGGGGAGACATTGATTTGTTGTTCCACTTTTTTTATTGTTGGTTATCATTTTTTTGTCTTTTATTTTTTAATTTTCATTGTTGAAGTACAATTTTCTCTTTTACTCCCAGCTCACCCACCCAGCCCTCCCCTCCTCCCTCCCATTTCCACCCACCCCTAGTTTTTTATCCATGTGTCCTTTACACTTGTTCCTGTAAACCCTTCCCCTTTTCCCCTGAAATTCCCTGCTTTCTCCCCTCTGAACAGTCAGCCTGTTGTTCCACTTTTTGATGCAATCATTGGTTTTGTATGAGCCCTTACTGGGGATGGAACCTACAACCTTGCCAAATCAGGATGACACTCTAACCAACTGAACTCCCTGGCCAGGACATGTTTTAAAATCTTGATTGTGGTCATTAGAATTACAAAATAACAGCCACCAATGACATCCCTATGGATTTTAACCCCTTGAGACCATGTCAGACTCCAGACCTACAGAAATGTAAAAGAATAAATGTTTTTAAAAGATTTTATTTTTAGAGAGAGGGGAAGGAAAAGAGGGAAACATCAATGTGTGATTGCCTCTCATGCACCCCCTTCCAGGGACCTGGCCCACAACCCAGGCACGTGCCCTGCCAGGGAATCAAACAGGCAACCCTTTGGTTCGCACACTGGCTAAACATGTTAAGCCATTTTGTGGTGATTGGTCACAGTGGCTATAGACACATACACTAGAATAATTGGTCACAATTGTTTCCCAGGGGCCCGACTCCTGGGATCCAGAAGCCCGTCCCTACCACCCACTTTATGGATAGGCCAGACTAGCCTCAGCCTATGTGCAAGCTCTGACCCACCTCTTCTCAGGCCTTTAACTGAATGTCAAAGCCCTGGGCATCTGGGGAGTGGGGGCAGTTGAGATGCTAGAAGGACTTTGCAAGTCAGGCCCATGTGTGTCCAAAAGGAAGGGGTAGCCCTTATGGAGTGACAGATCCCGTTCCACATTTCTGACTCCAGGGCCCCTTCTTTCCCTTTGCCCCCTATCCCCTACTCCCCACTTGTCTCCAGGTGGACTTGAGCCTAAAGGCCAGGAGCAAGCTGCCCTACTCCCTGGCCCAGCCCTGCCTCTCAGGCTCTAATTGTCCTAGCCACGATGCTTCATCCCAGAGGCCTGACTGGATGACCCAATGCCACATCACCCATGTCAACAGCCTAGTTTGTGCAAAGGTGAGCAGGCTGCCCAAGGCCACAATCCGAGTGTCACTCCCACAGGGACTGGGGAGGTCTGGCCAATCAATCCCCAGGCAGATCTGTCTGGATGCCTTTTCCTCAACACGCAGCAAGTGGCCACGAACCCTAGAACCCAGGGCCTCTCACACTGGCTCTGCAGCTCTCACCAGGCCCCTAACCCGACCACCGTAAAACCTGTATCCATCAGAACCCCAAAACCCCCAAGCCCACTGAGGTAGGGTCCAGGCCTCCCACTCAAGCAGGCCACAAGTGGTTGCAAGACCACGGAGGGGCCAGGGTAGGCGCAGGTCCTTCTGTGGGCAAGGGCTCTTCCCTGGCAGGGAGGGAACAAATGACACAACGTGGGTTCTAATCCAAACGCACTTCTCTTTATTCAAACCAGGGTCAAACTGGTCAGTGGGGATGCCCTGAAGCCACATGCGCAGGAAGTAGGCTGACAAGGCCTCCTGGTCCTGTATGCAGTTGGACGCGGGGTGGTTGCCACCTGAGCCAGGCGGTGTGGTACCCATGGCCCACTTGCAGACACCGCCAGGCAGGTCAATCAACAAAAGCAAGGAATAAACAAAAACAAAACACGCTCAGTAGATTGCTTCTTTAAGCTCCAGAGTTTCTGGACCAATGAGTCCCAACCCTCAAAGCCAGGAGTACGGGGACCAAAAACACCCCTCACTTCCACCAGTGCCGACAGAAACCCTGTTTTAAATTAAAAAATAAGCCAGTATACACTGTAGAAAATTTCTCTTAAAAATCTCACAATTTGTAAATGTATATTTTTTTCTTTAACATAAAAGTTTACAATATACGGTAAAACAAAAGGCTCAGGAAAATAATTTCAAAAAGGAAGAAAAAGAAACCTGAAATTTTGAATTAAAGCTGAAGACATTTTTTTAACCCTGTTGTTGAACCAGTGACTTTTTTTTTTATTGTGCTGATGGGTTAGAGAAAGAAATGTATTTAAAAACTTCAGTCCAGACACCCACAGCCGC